GGAGGAGGAGGAAGAGGAGGACCATCATGAAAAGGGCCTGACGCATGTCTGTGTGCCAGGCGTGCCCTCCTCGACCACGAGCTCGTGCCGCTCCAGGTGGAGGTGGTCGGGCTGGACAGGCGGCCGTGCCAAGCTGTTTTGAAACGGTGTTTTCTTGCCGAGTGGCGCTGGATGCAAGAAGGAGGCAAGAAACCTGCCCTTGAACCTCGTGTCGATCCCCCGCTGCCGCGGCTGGACGCGGCTCGGGAAGCTGAACTTGCGGTGGCTGCGGTGGGCCAGGGCTTCTGCTTCTGTTTCGGTTTCGAGATGGAGGGGACATCACATCTTCCAAGCTTCCTTTCTCCTTCTCCACCCTCCCCTTCTTGTCCCCCTCTGCCCACTCTTCAGGGGGAAGGGGAGAAGAGAGGAGGGAGACCGGCACTCATGGTTAGATATCTCTCTCTCTCTCTATATATATATAGGTGGATATATAGTTGTATATCGGTATTTGTATTTGTATGTATGCACGCATGCATGCATGTTTGCACATTCAAACATCTGTATGTCTGTCTGTACGTATGTATATTTGTATACTTTGTTCATGTACATGTGTATGTTAGTATAACTGCGAGTATGCATGCATGCATGCATGCATGCATGCCTGCCTGCCTGCCTGCCTGCATGCATGCATGCATGCATGCATGCATGCATGTATGTATGTAGTATGTATGTATGTATGTATGTATGTATGTATGTATGTATGTATGTATGTATGTATGTATGTATGTATGTATGTATGTATGTATGTATGTATGTATGTATGTATGTATGTATATACGTACGTATGTATGTATGTATGTATGTATGCATGCATGTATGTATGTATGTATGTATATATGTATATATGTATGCATTTCTGTATAGACGTGTGTGTATGTGCATGTAGGTATGTATATACGTGTTCATGCTTGTACATTTGCATGACTGCATGCATGTATGTATATGTGCATGCGATGCATGCTTATATTTATCAATGCATGCATGCATGCATGCATGCATCCACGTATGCATGTATACATGTATTTATGTCTGTATGTATGTGGGTATGTATGTACGTATGTATGCATGCATGTGTATAAATGCCTGCATGAATGTATGCATGAATGATTGTATGCATGTACGCATGTATAGTTTCATGCATGCATGTATGCATGTATGTATCAATGTATGTATATATGTATGCATGCATGTATGTATGCCTGTCTGTCTGTATGTATGTGTGTATGGATTTATGTATATATGCATGTAAGCATGCATGCATGTATGCATGCACACATGCATGCATTCATGTATGCATGGACGTGCGTATGCGTGTGTGTGTGTGTGCTCATGTATGCATGCATGCATGCATGTACGTACGCATGTATGCGTATGTGCAGACATGTATGTAAGTATGTGTGTATGTATGGATGCTTGTATGCATGTATGTGTAGATGCGCGCATGCATGCATGCATGTATGTATGCATGTATGCATGTATGCATGCATGTGTGTATATTTATACATGGTAATATACGTGTAGATGTATGGGCATGTGTGTTTGTATGTATGTGTGTACGATTGTATATATGTATGCATGCATGCGTGCATGTATCTATGCTTGCATGTATGTACGTACGTACGTATGTATGTATGTCTGCATGCATGCATGTAATGTAATGTAATGTAATGTAATGTAATGTAATGTAATGTAATGTAATGTATTGTGTTGTACTGTAATGTAACATAGTGCAATGTAATGTAGTGTAATGTAATGTATTGTAATGTAATGTAATGTAATGTATGTATTGTAATCGAATATAATGTGATATAATTTGATGTGATGTGTTATGATGTAATGCGATGTGATGTACTGTAATGTAATGTAATGTGTGTATGCGTGTATGCATGTATGCATGTATGTGTGTGTATATGTAGGTATGCATGCATGTGTGTATTCATGCATGTAATTGCGTGTATATATCTACACCACCCCTCTTCAGTGGGAGGAGGCCTACTCCTCCCATGGTCTATTTCGAACCGATCTATCCGAATCGGTCTCGCTACTTTGGGCCCAGTCCGATTCGCTTCCGGGGTTCTGACGACTTCTGCGCGGCGTCGTTGTCTGCGCGGCGTCGTCGTCGTGCATCCGGGCGCTGCCGATCTGCTTCGGCTTCGACTCCGTGCCGGCGCCGTCCGGTGCGACGCACGTTCCGATTCCGATCCGATTCGAGCACGGCCCGCCATGCAGGAAAAGGGTCCTGAGGGAAACTGGTCCGGAGGAGGAGGAGGAGGAGGAGGAGGAGGAGGAGGAGGGAGGAGGAGGAGGAGGAGGAGGAGGAGGAGGAGGAGGAGAGCAACAACAAAATTACACAGCATGAAACGCTGGTCCTGGGGGGGAAGCCCCTGGGGTGCTGGAAAACCGTTTCCCTCAGGCACCGTTTGCTT